TAACGACATAATTAGTAGGAGCGTATATTAAAAAAGAACTAGAAACATAAAATAGGAATAAAACATACATAGATACGACGCACACATATTTTCTCAAACTAAAATTAAGAAACAAAAACATTGTTAATTTACCAAAATGACCTAACTGAAATAGTAACCAATCTCTTCACCTTATTTCAGAGTTAAACTACAACTTTGATCTCTGCGATTTATGGAGGCCAGTCCTCCATTCTTATGGAGCCAATTTGTGTACACTTCGACAATAATTTTACGGGACAACTGTCAATTCCTAATCGAGTGGCCATCATGAGATTTGAACTAATTTTCTCTAAAAACTTTTTGATTTACAGGTCTCTTGGACTAATGAATCAACCCGTGATGCTTTATTATTAGATACTTTAAAGTTGAAAGACCAATTAGATATGAGATTAGATATAAAATGTTGAAATTAGTTTACTTATTGCATGCACACGGACTTTAAAATTAAAGAACAAAACTTATAATTTAACCTGATTTGGGTATATAATGTGTGTACACAAATCTTTATAAATATATAATTGGACTGGATCGAAGAGTTTGAGTAAATTTTGGAGAGTGAAGTTTTTCGGAATACTTTACTACATATAGCATAAACTTAGTACAGATTTTAAAAAATGTCACATCTTTTCATTGTTTTGAAATATAGCATACATGTGACTATTTTCAGTATTTGAGTTTGAGTTTGATCTTGATTCAAATTACGCTTTTTTTTCCTAAAAAAATTCTAAGCTTTTTTTATTATATTTAAAAATATATGTTTATTTCATGCTATTAGTAAATCCCTCTAAAAATCATGTGAAAGTTTTGGATTAAACTAGAATATTTAAAAAGTTGGGACTAAAATTGGATATAAAAAACAATGAGATAGGGATAAGACCAATACTGTCTTATCCTATCGAACAGGTGGATCCATAGAACATTTTAAAAAATAAATGTCTGACATCTTAAAAGGTTATTTTCGTAAATAGAATATTTGTAATTTTATATTTTGGAATTGCTTTATTCCATGACAATAGTTTTTATAAGTTAAATTTTTAAAAATAAAAAACAAAAATTAGATCTAAGATATTAAAATTTTCCCCCTAAAAATTTTCCAACTTGAACTTTTAGAAGGGAAAAAAAAATTATATTTACCAATATTAAAAGTGTAATGGCTGAAAATCAATTTTTAACCTATGTATCCTTTAATATATAATTTTAAAAGTATAACTCCTACCTCTGAAGCAGCGTTTATGGTAATTTTTTAGTTTGACATTTAATTTCATATTATAGATTGTTAACAAACAAAAATTTGGAAACAAAACTAAA